CTCAGCAGCATCTCGAGGCCATTTCCATCGGCAGCCCTGAGTACCTTTGGGAACCCAAAGTTTTCAACACAGCAGTAGTAAGACACTGCAGTACTTTGAGGCTCCTCCACTGGAGCACCTGTGTCAGATGTATTTCATGTCCAGAGACTTACATGGATCATGTGGTTTCTTTCCTAGCAACGAGATAGCATCACAAGTTTTCTCTCCAGCTGTCAGGAAAATGGTGAATGGAGCAACTCCCATTTGAGCTGTGTTCGTAAGTGACCTGTGTCTGTATTGTGGGAAGGGAATTGGAATGGAGTGTTTAGGCTCTAGATCCACAGCATCTCCAGATTAGGAGGATGCTGAAGTGCTGGGATGTGAGCATACTGAAGGAACAGAGAAAGTGAGCCCCCATGACTGTACAGGGTTTAGAGAAGCTGAGTGGCTCCCTGTCATACAAAATAGTCATGAGTGAGGGTGTCCCTTTAATTGTATTTGATCCTTTTTTTCCTTCTCTTCAGCTGTGAACTGTGGTGATCCCCCTGCTGTTGACAACGCCCAAGCCTCATACATCTCCGAGCTCCGTGAGCCTCTGTTCACAGCTGCTGTCCGCTATCAGTGCGAGGCACCCTACTACACCCTAGAAAACAAAGGGCATGGTGAGCATTGCCTCTGCTACACAGTCACGTTCCTTTGGTTAAAGGCCTAAGAAATGGTCCTGGCACCATCATGGGGCTGGGATTTTATGCTGTCAGGTCAAGACTGGTGTGGGGTTGCAGGCAGTAGTTTTATGTTGCCTCTGTGTTTAATACACTCTAACAATGCCCGAGCTGTTGACCTTAAATGCATTAGCAAGCCTTCTCTTAATTTGCCTTGTGAGTGAACCATGCAGGTTATTGTCCCATGTAGCACAGAGTTCTAGTGAAAAAGTAAAGAACTCAAGAAATCTGTTAGATGAGGTTTCTCCCAAAAAAGGGATAGAAGCAATCTGATAGGGAGACAACAGCAATGTTTACCAAGCTGTGCTTGCTTTGGAAATCAGAAGGTTAATTTATCATATACAGTAGTGTTATTTACCCTGTGTTCAGCTTGATTGTGTCCTTATGGAACTCTTTTCTCTCGTGTTTTCCAAGAGATATATCAGTGCTCAGCCAGTGGAGAATGGGTTAATGAAGAGATGGGAACAAAGCTACCAAAATGTGTCCCAGGTACTACCAAATACTGTATGTGCATGCAGCATATGAAGAACACTGCTTCTTTCATCTCTGTATTTTTCTTTTCTCACCTTCCAGCCGATAGAGAGAATTTTAAAACCTGTGTACTGTTCATTTTACCCTCATAGAGGGGGCAGCATGACTTGGCCTAATTGTACATGATACCTGTTCACTCCTTCAAAGCCCCAGATCCTGACTGACAAAGTGCAAGATCCAGGTGGAGAAGATTCAACTCTCTTAAAAGTTCAGTCACAGCTTAGACAGTGATTAGGATTATACAAGTACACAATGAAAAAGTCAAATTGAAAGATAAAGCTCAGGGAATTTACTGTCCAAGCGGAGGCTACAAAGAATATGAAGCCAAATTCTTCTCAGTGGCACACAGCAATAAAAGGAAATGACAGGCTCAAGTTGCAACAAAAGAAACTCTGATTGTATCTAAGAAAAAATGCTCCCCCAGAGCACTGGAACTGCTGTCCATAGAGGCTGGCTAATCACCACCCTGGGAGATGAGCAGAAATTACCTGTCAAAGCCCCTGAGTAACCTGGCTTTGGAGTTAGGAGGGCAGGGGGGAGAGAAGTTAGGGAGGATTAGGTTGAACTAAAGGCACTTAGAAGTATCTTCCAGCCCAATCTTCCTATGATTATGTGAAATTCTTTAACGAATTCTGCTTCATGCAAATTAGAAGCTATCTGCTGGCTATAGTTCCTTAATCTCTGATTTTCTGGCTAACGATTCAATGCAAACAAGGCAATGTGGTAAGAAATCAGTTTCCTAGCTATGCCAGAATGACCGATCTTATTTATGTCCTTATTATTAACATTCTGCAAAAGGTTACTGAACATTTTGCTCAAAAAGCATGGAGCACCTCTGCTCCCAGAAGACCCACAGATAAGATCCCCCACTGCTTAAGATTTTACATACTTATAAAATGGAGAGGCAAAATGGTAAAACATCAGTGACAAACCCGACTCTTAACCTGAGAGTTTTGGAACTTTTTGGAGTTCACAAAAAAAACCCCCAACAAAACAAAACAAAACAAAACAAAACAAAAAAACAAAACAAAACAAATCAACAAAAACCAAAAACAAACAAAAAAAAAAGAGAGCATTGTCATATTGTCATATTTCTAAGAAAATAAACAAGTATTTTTTCGAAGACAATCCCTTCATCTGAAGAGCATAATTCAGCAAAGGGAAAATGTCAACTAGAAGGCAATTAAATTGCAGGCTTTGACATACTTAACACGTCAGGGTGACAACTGCTTTCCAGAAAACTTAATTTGAGAATGAGCATTTTAAATCTAAATTGAGTGTTGATAGTGTTTTCTTTGATTAATTTTCTTTGATTTCTCTGTAAATATTAATTGCAATATCCATGGAGTAAAATATAAACGTGGTTACTCAGATTCAAAAATTATTTAGAGGACATAGGCAGGAGGGGACTTCTTTAGCAGTACCAAAGAACTCCCTGTTTGTAACTGCTAATTCTCCCATCTGGTCTTTCTCCCATCTTTCTTTCTCTCTTTTCTTTCTAGTCTGTGGTGTGCCTAGTAATCCCATTCGAGACACAGGAAGGATTTTTGGAGGCACTCGTGCAGAAAAGGGCAACTTTCCCTGGCAGGTGTATTTCAATGACCCCAGGGCAAGTGGAGTGCTCATCTCTGACAGATGGGTGATGACTGCAGCTCACGTGCTGGACGGATATGACAAGCCCACCATGTATGCTGGGGTAACCGATGTTCGTAGAGAATCCCTGAAGTGGGAAGCCGAAAAGCTTATCCCAGAAGCTTCGTTCATCCATCCTGGTTGGAAGGAGGAGCCCACAGAAAGTAGGACTGATTTTGATAATGATATTGCACTACTGAAGCTGAGAGATCCTGTGAAGATGGGTCCAAACATCTCACCCATCTGTCTTCCTGGTAAATCACCTGAATATGAGCTGCAAGAAGGGACTCTGGGCTACATTGCTGGATGGGGCCGGAGAGAGAAAGGAAGACTCCCTGGTGATCTTTGGAAGGCCCAGATTCCCGTGGTGAACATGGACAAGTGCCGATCTGTGAAGCCAGACTACTCCGACGATTCCGTCGTTTACATATTCACCGACAATATGATCTGTGCTGGTGGTGGCAAGGACAGCTGCCAGGGGGATAGTGGTGGAGCCTATGCTATCCAGGATCCTCTGAATGCCACCCGGTACTATGTAGCGGGGCTCATCTCCTGGGGGCCAAAATGCGGCACCTTTGGTCTTTACACCAAGGTGGTGCGTTACTTGGACTGGATCGCAGAGACCATGAGCAAGCACGAGGATGAGGAGGCTTGACAGAAGTAGATGTTTCTCCTTTCAGCACGGTCACCCTTTCTAAATGTGATGGCTGCACGTTTGGGCTGGCTGTGACCTCTTTCACTCAGAGTATGTAATGGGAAATATATAACACATAGTAACTCATCGTGTCTATGCTGAGTGGAGAGTCAGGAGTGTGGATCTGTTTCTCTCACTGTCATCATGTCTGGGAAGGGAAATTCTCCTTCTTCCACTCACAGTAGCATAAAAGGAAGACATTATTCTGAATAAAGAGACTCCTCCTTCTTCCTTTCATTTTTTTTTCTATCCTATTTTTTCTCACTTGGAGAGGATCTAGCTCTGCCCCACTGAAACCTGACAGAGGGGTTTCAGTGAAGACAAGAGAGAATAATGGTTGGTTCCCAGGGAAGGCTCAGAGCCTGGTTTCTGATTTATGTATTTCCTGACCTGTTCAGAATATCTAACAGAATTAAAGAATGTCCAAACTGCCTTTTGTGCAATGTGCTATTGTGTCTGTGTAGTCTTTCTTCTTCTCAGTCTAGACCTAGTTCTCCTTGAAACTCCCTAAATCAAGTGTCAAATCATATTCTGACCCTGCCAGCTTTCATCAAGCTGGAACTTGTAGTATCTCACCTCTCTACCAGAGTCTTTATAAAGTTCTTTTGAGATTGTTCCCTCTCACTGATCAACTATTACCAGCGATGAGAATTTCAGACTTCTGAATTAAGCTGAAGAGAACGGATATTTTCAAAATAATTTCATTCACCTGTCCTCAGGCTTTACTTTTTTTCAAATTTTATTATGTTACAAAAGAAATAAAACTTGATTTTTTCTCCCAAAACACTACCTCCTCTTGATTTAGGGAAGGAATATTACCTAACGTGTGTTAGAGGTATTTTCTGCTCCAGAAGGTCCTATATCACTCACAGACATCCTTCCACTGAGATGATCAGGGAACTGATACAGATGGCGTATACTGAAAGACTGAGTTTGTTCAGCTTGAAGAGGAGGAAGCTAAGAGGGGGGATCTAACTGCTGCATTCAGATAGCTAAATTTCCAGCTGAGCTTTTTCCTAGCATGTGGGTCAGCACTGGAACAAATGCTACAAGAGACTGTCCCTAGATCACTTGAAAACTTTGCCTGAAGCTCTGAAGTTAGCCCTACTGTCAGCAGTGGATTGGACAGAGACTTCTTCTTCCAGCCTAAGTTTTTATAGGAGGTAAAGAAATGGTGAGGAGGATTTGTACAGCTCTTGGGAGATTTCATATGGAATCCTGCACTCAGTTCAAGCACCTTCAGTTCTGTGTAACAAGCAAAACATTATTGGATTGTTGGACTAGTAACCGAGGATCTTATATTGCTTCTCTCAGTGACTCATGAGAACACAGTAGGCTATTTTGCAGTAGAAAAACTACTCAAGAAGACAAGTCCAGAGAATACCCACAACACAAGAGAGATCACATTTTCTCTGAGACAACATCATTTTAGAGCTGCTGTTCTGCAGTTAAAGCTTTATTTCATATAGGATTAAAAAAGAAAAAAAATCCATCTTCAACTTCTGATCAGTAAAGTTTCCTGAGGTCCCTTCTCCATGAGATTGGTTGTTGCCTTTCCTGTTTTTGGAATGTGGCATCATGCATGCAATTTATTTTTGCATCCCTTGAAGCCATCTGGGGGTTCAGACTGGATAATCTAATGATAGTTTTGGGACAGATAAGCAGCTGCCACAGGCCATTGCAGAACTGGAAACACTTCAGTGGTAGGTAAAGCAATCCCTATATAAAGTCCAGAAGTTACTTTCAGTGGTGAGAAATATTCAGTTGTTAAAAACACAGACAAAAAAAACATAAAACACCTGGTTTATCCAGCAAGTATTTTAATATTCATAGAATCTCACTGATGCCAATGGGCCTCTGCACACTGTATTCAGCAGAAACCACCCCATCCTTCAAGGAAGTCTTCTTCCCTGCAACCTGCCCACAAAAGAGGGTACAAAAGTAGACTGCAGTAGTTCATGATATCATCAGCATTTCAAACCATAACATGTTTGCTTTCATGAGAGTTCCTGATACAATTAAGGCTTCATCCGGTTATAAGGTTTGTATGAACGAGAACATCCACAAAGGCGTTCCCCAAGCTGCCAATGGTACAATCAAACAGCATGGAGGCTTTCAGAAGTGCTCATGATGAAGGTTACATGCTTTGCGTGTTTGAAAAGCCTTTGGGACTTCATCATCAAAAGCTCTGGCTATGATTTGCTGTGTCTGGAAATAGATATGCTAATGGTGCTTCAGTTAGTAGGACAGCAACACCTAGGGTCTGTCCTCCTTCACTATCCCATTGATCCAGTCCACATAATTGAGGATCTTGGTGTAGAAGCCATAGCCTGTGCCACAGCCAATTCCCCAAGAAACGATGCCAGTAGCCACCCAGCGACCACTTTCCCTGTCTAACACCGTGAAGACGCTCCCACTATCCCCCTGGCAGGTATCCTGCTTGCCTTCGAGGAAGCCAGCACAGAACATGTTCTCAGAGAAAACCATAGGGATACCTCTCTTATTTCTGTCTAGCCAACTCTGACACTTCTCTCGACCAACTGCTGGTAGGCTCACGTACTTCAAATTGCTTGAGATGCGGTTTTTATCCACACCAAAGCCACTCACGTAGCCCATGTGCCCATGTGTGTAGAACGAGATGTCAGTAGGATCTGGGAGACAGATGGGCAGCAGTGTGGGGCCCAGAGTTACTGGGTTCTTCAGCTCCAGCAGGGCTATGTCCCCGTCGAAGTTGTGCTCATCTTTAGGGTTGAAATCTGGATGGATAAAGATCCTACGCACAGGGTGGTTACCCGTCTTGTGGAGCTCATCTACATTGGTGTGGCCGAGGAAAATGTCAGCCTCCTCTGCCAGTTGCTCCAGGCTCACATTATTCCGTACTCCTCCTTTGGGGAAGATGGTATGGGCAGCAGTCAGGATCCAGCGATCGCCCAGGAGTGCACCACCCCCTCGTCCATTGATGCCAGTCAGAGCCTGCCAAGGAAAATTGCCTCTCCTGGCTGGTTTGCCGCCTAAGATCCGCTGGAATTCAATAATGGGATGGACTGGCTTCCCACACACTGTGGAGAAACACAAGAACATGACACTCATCCTCTGTTATCCTGGCTTTTCTCTCAGTTTCCTCACCATCACTTTATTTTTGCTTTCTGGACAGTTTTCCCTTTTCCCTCACAGATACCATTATCCTCACTTTTACCCCTGCATGTTGTCCCAGTTTTGTACTGATAGTAAGCATGAGTCAGAAAATAGCAGACAAAGTCAGAATATTTACTGACCTGGCAAGCAGGATGGAATTCTCTTCTGGCCATTTTGATCCAGCCAGGTTCCCTCAGGAGAACAGGTGAATCTGTCTGTAGGATGAGAGGGAAGGGGATGAGACCAAGGCATGCAGGAATGGGGTAGAAAAATGGAATAGAATAGAATAGAATAGAATAGAATAGAATAGAATAGAATAGAATAGAATAGAATAGAATAATTTTCAAGAGGTTCCTCAGCCCTTCCATCCCAAAGCACTTTTTCCTGGGAAAAGCTGCCTGTGGTAGGGGTGTGGAATGTTTCCATCTGTACATCTTGAAGCACCTCAGTTCCAGGGGAGTGGTAAAGCTCAGGCACTTGTAGAAGAAAAGGTGGCAGGGGCATCTCTGTGAGGTCTTATCTTCACTGAGTCCACAGGTGCACAGAGACTGTTTGACCTTATTTAGCCCAAAGAAGGAAAGAAGTAGTAAAAGCATGGATTTTAGATTCAAGCTTCTGGTGTGCGTAGTTTGCAGAGAGTGGGACAAGGTGATTTGTCCCAGAAACAGGAACCAGATGAGTCAGTTACTGTACATGCTCAGTATCTATTTCTGAGCCTAAGTTGCAGGTCAGCTAAACTCACATGTCACCTCTCAAGACAAACTCCACTACCTCTAACACTCTTGCTTTTCTTAGAAAGTTTGTGCTGGCGACTAAAAACAATTTTTATTCAATTTGTCTTAAGACTGAAGCAAATGCTTCTGAGAAAGTTTTTGCTGTTCTCTTTCAAAATTGACTAAATTATGATGACTCCCCATCAGAATTTGGCTGGAGCTGATATTTACTTGCTCCTCATTTTTCTTCTCATGAGACTGAGCTCTGACTCTTTATGAAGGAGTTCAACTCAGATGCAAAAATAATCAAATTGAACATTAGTACCAACTTAAAGAACTCTTTAGTAGCATGTCACCTCTCTCCAGTATGCAGCACAACTGTGTGTCCATGCTAGTAACTGTATCCAGAAACTGATTCAGATTAAAAATAGTTGAGCAGCCAAGGCAAGGAAATCATGAACTCCTTATGCTGTTCTTGGAATCAATCATCCTGCATCATCAAGTAATGTCTCAGGTGTAAAAAGAAGGCATGTGAACGGTTTTGAATGATGACTTAATTTTTCTGAGCTGCTGCATTAAAATAGATTTTTCTGCAAGTATTTAGCTCTTAGATATCTCTGCAGCAAAACAATATTCCAAAGAGCTGAACAGCATTATACTGGAGTGGAGTGTGTGTTTATTCATTTGCCTCTGTAGCAACTTGGATTAATGCAGTGAGTTTTATGAATTTTAGTGATTCCTAGACACCACGCCTCAAATTTCAGTGAAAGAATGAAATCCACTAGAAAAGAATGAAATCTACTAGGAAAAAAATTACTATTACTACAGCTGAGAGAACAAGACCTTCTGCAAAAGTTACGGGGAGCATGGAAGAGTGATGTGATGGGCTCTGGGAATGAAGCAGGGTGGGAATAGGCTAAGACAAGAAAACTCCAGAGATGTACTGCAGGGTCAGGAAAAGACTGAAGAGTCTTCACAGGAGGAAAGCATGAGCCCTAAGCCTGGGGAGAAGAGACAATTCTAACTGGAAATGTGAGAGGGTTTTCCAGGCGCAGGTTTGGCATCTGTGCGGGATTAGGACTCACCACCCCCCGTTCCGGTGACGATGTGGTAATAGGGCTCATTGCACCGGTATGAGATCACCGACTGGTACTCATTGTTTGCCGATTCGTTAACGTAGCTGAATACACCATTGGTCAGGTTTTTAGGGCTTCCACAGTTCACAACTATAACAAAGAAAGAAAAAGAAGACGTGAATCAAAGACAGACTGATTGCAAGTCTGGGCATTGGAGCCATGATGAGAAGAACCAGTTAGGACAGTGGGCAAAGAGAGGTTGTCCCAAAACAGATCCCAGATCACGATCTTTTGTTTTTATATGTTGCAACATCTTGGTGTAATTTTTGGTTATATTTTATATATTTTTTTAAGGGAGGAAAAACATTTTAATTTTTGCGAGCAGAAAAATGTGAATCAATGGTGGACCTCCACAGGTCCTTCCAGACAGCACATCCATGAGGCTATGGCATGGACAAAGTGAGTCAGAGAGGCTGAATTTCCCACATTCCTGGAGGAGGAAAGAAACAGCAGGGGATGTTATTCTCGTTCTAAGATCACTCACTTTGACAGCGGGGCATGGATTGATGCCATGTGCCATCAGCCTGGCAGACAGCTGTGAAGGACATCAGCTTTTGGTCACCCTACATGGGAGAGAAACACATCTGTTGGTTGTACAGATCCTTTAATTTCTTCCCCACATTAAAATATTATTCCGTGTGCCTATCTTTTCACTACTGTCCAATATTTTCCCCTCTGCAGTCTGTTCCAGTTGCTGTCTCCTCCTGCCTTCCCTCTATTCTGTATTTGCCATAGGCTACACAATCATCATAGCAGGCCAAGACACCTGCAGCCAGCAACTCTAAACCATGACGAGTCAGAGGTGCTACCCAGCCCCGGCAATAGGATGGCAAGGGAGGCAGGTAACATCTTCTGCTTTCATCTTCTGATTTCATAACCTTCCAAAGAGGTGTTCTTGTTCACCAGCTTTCCCTGGGATCTTTGTCTTTGGTTTTCTACCAGGGCTTCATAAAGAGTAACAGCATAAGGAAGAGAGCTAGGAGAAGAGAAACAACTGGAAGAAAGCTGAGAGAAGCAAAGAAGAAACAGAAATTACAAGAAGTTGCCATGAGTGAAATCTCCAAAGGAAGTTTAACTGAAAGGTGAAAGACACCAACTGAAGATAAAACAGAATATGGCTGAAGGGAGTGGAGAAGAGATCTCACCTCCATCAGGTTATACCCAGTCTTGCAGCTGACAACAAAATAGTCCTGAAATCGATACACAGGCTGCAGGTCTCTGATGATGGTAAACTGATCCTGTGGGACAGGCTGTGGGCACCGTATTTCTGTCAAAGAGTGGGACACATTAAGCTGGGATTAGCAAACAGTGTCAGTAGGCTGTACTAGCCTCTGGGGGAGAAATCTCTTACTCTCTGAGGTGTAGTGGATCTTCCAGCCATGGCTGAACCCTGACTCATCGGTGAGGAAGAGTATATCCACTTCGTTGCTGTTGGTTTCAATGATGCCAGGTGATTCCCTGCCACAGAATTCACCAATCTCTCTCCCTTGTGCTTGGATCTGATGAGGAAAACATGTATCACAGGCACAGAAACACACATGCCTCTCTGCCTCAGTGTGTCTCACCCACCTTTGCTGATGCCTTCACTGACAGATCAGAACAACAGACCGACCAACCACAAGCTCTGTGTCTAGCTTATATCTGGGGATCAGAGTGATCAACCCCTGAGATTAAATCAAAGGGAAATTAAGCTGGAAGAAATTGCCTTTTTTTTTCTTCACTCACGGAGGCCTATGACCCAGAGCCTCTGATCTCAGGACAGTGGTAATTAAATATACTGAGGGAGAGGCAGGGGCTCAGTCTTTTGTGCTGGGACATTCTGCTTGTACGGATTCTGTATTTCTCATCTGAGCAGTGGTGCTGCCACGATTCCTGTCAAGGTCTGGCAGCAGGGCTGGGAGGAGAGTTTGCTAATCTCAGTACCTTGAGCTGGTCGTAAGGACAGTGGACTTGCTGGTGATCGTCAATCTCAAAGGGTTCCAAGAACCTGAGGGTGATAGACAGGCCCTTCTGCAGACGGATGCTGTAGTTACACCGGAGATACTCGGGATAAGGCTGGGGGTACTCGGGGCTGCTCAGGTAACCCGATGCCTCTGTGAACAACTCACTGCTGCATTCCACTGGTGAAGAGGAAGAAAGGAGAGGTCACATCGTGGGGTTGTGCCTTTTGCAGCCCTGTCATCTGCTTCCTAACTTCTCCCACCCTTCCTGCATGAGGGCTCCTTCTCTGGAACCCTCTGATCTTTCAAAATTTCTCTTTACCTTTGCAGGAGTGGTGGTCACTCTGAAGCTGATAGCCAATCCGGCAAGAACAGAAGTAGCCCCCCACATAGTTGTGACAGAAGTGCTGGCATTGAGGCCTTTCATCGTTCTCAGCAGCATTGTTAGGCTCACATTCATCCAGATCTGAAGACACAGGAATTGAAGGTCAGTGGGAGAAAAGTGTTAAACCTCCCTGCTGTACACTAACAGTACTTAGAGATCCACATCCTTGCCTAAAGCTTCTCTTTATTTGCCTGTCACAGAGGAAAATTGGTTGCAGCCACAGAGGCTTTTCCTTCTGCATGCCAAGGGTATTTCCTACTCACCCACAGCTCTGTAATATGCCAGGAAGCCCCTGTAGGGAATCACTGTGCCATTGTCTTCATTGGAGAAATCAGAGTGAAATTCCAGGTGCATCTTGTTCCCCTTAGATACAAACTCCTTTCTTCCCGGGTGATTGCCTGTGGTATACCCAGGCCGGCCACAATATCGGCCCAAGTCCTTCTTGTCTGCTTTGATCTGTCAAAGGTAAGGTGGAATCAGTGTAGCCTCATAAGACTGAGTCTGCTCCACGCACTGATATTACCCAACCATGAGTTGTCAGTGTTTGCCCCTCCCATTTCTATCTTTAACTCCTTCCCTTTCCTTCCTGGGAAGCATCAGAAGAGGCCTGGCGGATGAAAAGCCATTGCATGTGGTGGCCACTGATTGCCATCTCCAGGCACCCCTTGGCCCAGGTGTCTCTGCACATACCTTAACATAGTCATAGAAGCAGGACTCAGATGGCTCCAGGTCAAAGTATTTGAAGGTCAGCTTCACCACATACCCTTTTGGGACCTGGATATCCCAGCTGCTGATGTTATCGTTGGGATATGGCTTGGGATAACTGGGGGATCTGATCTCCCCAAAAAGGGGAGAACCTCTTGGGACCGGACTGGAACCGATCACTCCAAAAAAGAGGAAGGCCCATGGGAGGCAAGGAACATGCCTGTGAACACGACAAATAAACGATGACATTGCACAAAATTAGGTCATTCAAAATCAGGGGAGACTTCACAACTGACTTTGTGCACTGTCTAAAGGAATGCAAACACAGGAGGCCTAGTTGCAGGACCAGCTCCTGGCTTGGATCACTCAGGAACAAGAAGGGCAGCTGAAATGAAGACACTAGCACTAACAAAGTTCCAGCAAGCCATTGTATAGGCTCTACAGAGAAAATCAAAAACCCTGGAAGCAGTGTGAAGGAGCATGGGTGAATTCCTGAGTAAGGTTTGCATGTTCCCAGAAGTTGTAGGGCTGATTCTTATAGAACCAGGAGAAATTTAGTCCCCCTTGACCCTGGGCCAGCAGGTTGTTTCAGGTTATTGCTAGTTTAGGATCACTGGTGAGGATCTGAAGATCTCAAGCTAGGTTTGCTGTGTAGCAATCCTGCCAAAATCTCCTGGGCAGCCCTCTACCCTGTCATGCCTCCATCTCTGTCCTCCAAAAGCTGGCGCTCGCATTTTTTTCCGCTCATTTCGCGCATCTCCCCTCTTGCCCTCTGTGTTCCTCCGAAACAAGCTCACTGCCCATTACCAGCAGCTTAGCCCCGTTGTCCTATTCTCCTCCCTGGAAGGGTCCAACCCCCACGGCCCCCCGCCCTCCCGCAGGGCTGTGCCGGCGCGTCCCCCTCCCCAGAGCCCCGACTCACATCTCCGTGCGCTCGCCCCAGCCCGTGCAGCCCGGCGGAGCTCGGAGCGGCGGCCGGCGGGGAGCGGGGGGCGGGCGGGACGGGGGAGGAGGAGGAGGGAGCGAAAGAGGCAGGAGAGGGGAATAGAAAGCTGGATTGCGATCAGCCTGGCACCGGACCAGGTCCCAGAGCCGCCTCTGCTGCCCTCTGCTGCCGAGCGCCCCGGCCCCGGTCCCGGTCCGTGAACGCAGACCAAGGGGGCACCGGGGGCGCCCGGCCTGGCCACGCAGAGCCGAGCGACCTCCTCTGGCCCAGGAGGCAGGAAAATGATTGCCAGAGACCCCTCCGAGGGCTCGGTCTGCAATTCAGAAGTTGTTCCGAGTTTGTTCCCACCGAAAATGTCCTTCTAGGAAGTCCCCCCCTCAAGCCTCCTGGGTTGTTGAGAAAAAAATTACAGTCTTCACAAGTTAATTCAAAAATTCAGCTGTCAAAACAGATAAGTTTTCTCAATTCTGACCTGCTGAAGAGCACTTCTGAGATTTGGGGGGGGCGGCGGGGGGGAAACTGAGATCCTCTTTGAGAAAAGCAAGAAGCCTCAAGCACTTGAGTTATAAAGATATCAAGAAAAATGAAAAAGTCTACAGAATTAAAGGCATTCTGAGAACAAATTCTTTTTCAAGGACCCCTCTTGATGTTTCTTCAGCAAGCATTTTTAGGAGAACCAAGATGGATAGATAAGGTCCTCTATTTAAAGGGGAAATGAGAAAATATAGCAGCTTAAAAACCCCTTTCAGGCTTTTAACAACATAGTGGCCAAGACATATATTTGTGTCCCCAACTTTATGACGTTTAAAATTTCTTGGCTTTCAGGCTTTGGTGTAAGAGATAAAACACCATTTTAGTGTTTTTCCTTAGAATTATGAGTGGCATCAGAGAGGTTAGGAAGTGTCTTGCATTGAAATCAGGGGAAGTAGTTCACAGTCACAAAGACATGTTGAACGAAGATGAAAATAGTGTTAAAAAGAATGAAGAAAGCATCTTTGGGATATTTATGGAAGTGTACTAGAGAACATGTACATCAAACATCTTTGAATTATTATCTGGAAAAGATCACATAAACATGCAACTAATGCCATTGTAATAATATCATATGGCCCCACATATCAGATTTAAGATTAAACAGAGAACACTATCCCAGTAGTCCCTGATGTCCAAGTATGTCCTCCGCATGATGAACACACTTGGGCACTCACTGCTGTGCTGTGCCATGTCGAAGTGGTTTCTTATTCAGAAACCACACCTGGAAAGTAGCTGGAAAGTACTGGAAAGTGCTCTTGGGGAGATCTGTTATGAGCAGGTCACTGGTGGGAAGAGTGTTCCCTGGAAAGGCACGGATAGAGAGACGCCCATGAGGATCATCAAGAAAGTGGATATTTAAGCAATCTTCTGTCCGGGGGGCACTTACTGGGAGTGTCCCATAACACTTTCAAAGCACATCTCCCGTGTCTTCATTCCCTTCTCCCATCCCCGTAACATCATCTGGGATAACAGGAGAGTACTTCAGCCGGTGAAGCAGGGGTGCTTAGCTGGAGACACATCCAGCCCGAGCCCACCTCTAACATATATCCCAGAGACATGCCTGATGTGGGCAGCACAGCTCCATCCCCAGTCCTGCTCCAGTGCTCCCACTGGTGGCGTTCCCCTTCAGATGCTCTGCGCAATCCTCTTCGCGTTAGGCTGGAGCCAGGAAATACCATGACACCGGTTTTTCCTTGGAAGAACATACGTGCCCATCTTTGCTTAGGGGCAGAATTCCTGTAGGACCACAGAAAATATGTAGGACCCCACAATGCCAAAACTAGCACCTGTTTGCTGCCTGCTGGCATCAGCTGCATTACAAGTGGTCTGGACAATAAATACAGACAATATTAGTGCAAGGTAAAAAACTGTAGATCTTCAGCATGGTCAAAGATGCCAACATCCTCTCATGGTGCAAGAACCCTGCTTTGAACACAGTGTCTTGCAGGAGGTTACTGGAAAGAAATCTGCTCTACAGACTCAGAAATCGTGAAAATATCCTCTGGCATGTGGACTAGATCCTCTCATCCACAGAGAAGGAGCTGGATATTTTATCCTTAAACCTGAATCAAGGAGGACAGAGAAGTACCTCTGTTTGGCCTCATACAGCTACACCACCTACCCTACAGCACAGCAGGGCTGCAGACCCAGGCTCACCTATGAACACTGAGGTGCTTTCCCAGGGCACTCTACCTTCAATCCTCTTGGTCTGACTACCCAAAGTAACCTTCTGGGGACACTGACATTAGGCTCAGCCTTCATGCAGTCAGGCCTATGCTGTCCAGTGGCTCAGCACTCTTTCAGACAAATCATGCCACTTCTGCAGCTCTGGCTGATAGGGAGAGGATGATCAAGACCAGAAGAAGGTTTAGGACTCTAAGAGGGGTCTTGCCCTTGGCATGAGATGATGAGTAGCAGCAGCAGCATCTTGGCAGCCCGTTACCGTGTCTTCTAAATCAAGGAGTAAAACCAAGTGTAATACCCTGAGGGGTACACACTTCTGCAGCACCAGCACCCCTCACCAATATCACACCTACTCCCACTTGTGTCCTCTCAATATCACAACTTTCCCCTGCTTCACAGTGGCATCCTCACTTCCCATAGCCTCATGTCTCAGCAATATAGTGCTGTTGGGTAAAGTCACCACCTGACTTAGGCATCACACCTATAGCATGATTATGAAAGAAGAAAATGAATTATTAATGCTGGCAGTTACTACCCGAAGCCCTAGAATATGTTGCAGTACTATCCCCTATGATTATCATTAGTGCGGACCACATCAAGTGAGTATTATTCTTATCTATAGTTCTGGCACAATCAGATTCTTCCTGAAGAAGAGAGGCTGTCATGGATACATGATGGCTGGCAATGAGTCAGAAAAAACCTACATGGCCTATCACCTCACAGGCTTACAGGAAAATTATGTGGCTGGCAGACCACTTGGAAGAGTCTGGCTAATCACCTGAAAACAATGGTGTCTGCCATCCAGCTAGAATGTAGGCTCAGAAGAGGAGAGTTTGTACCAGCTTGTGGTGCAGGGTCTGGAGTGAGCTGATTAATTTTTGATCACACAGTCGGGAAGATACCAGTCTGGACATGATGAGGTAGGCTTGGTGCTGGGCATCAGAAGCAGCTCAGAGGGCGTTCTCGTGGCATGGAAGAGAGCAAAGAGGGCAACAGTGGAACCAGCTCCAGCTGCTCTCTGCCTTTTGCAACTTCATGATACAACAGAGATCACGTAGAGGTTCCACCTGGTAGGAGTGATGGGTTGAGGAGGTCTGCACAGAGCAGACAAACTGGATGGCCTAGCTCTGATTGCTCACTAGGTTTGATTGTGGCAAATTGTGGATACTGACAGGGTGCTGCTGCCTCATATGTCCTAAGATACAACCGTAAAGAGTCAGAGGTTGACACTATAGGCACAGCTGCAGTTCCCCAACCCTTCCTTATCACATGTTCTGAAGTAATGCTTTTCTCATGGCACTCATCTTTGCAGTTCCCTGAAAAGAAGCTCTCCAGAAAACACTAATTTTAAATGAGCTGCTGGCAGAAAAAAAAGATGTACTTTTTTCAGCTTATAAAGGACTTATGTTAAAAAAATCTGCCAATCTCTTGGTTCTTTGTGGTGTCAGTAGCTGCACGTTTTTGTGTACTCTGCCCTTCAACCTTTTGTTGGGGGTCAGCCATATGCATTTTTCAGAAATAGCTGCCTGTGGACTCATGCCCATCCAATCACATGTCCTAATTAAAGAACACCTCTCCTTGTGGCACGAGTCTGGCTTTTCAGGGGATCTCACCTCCTTTGGTTCTGCCCCTTGGTCTCCAATTGCAGATAGCTGTGAACCAGTGGAGCTGCAATTGTTGTGAGGAGACCCTGCCAAGAATGCCAGAAGGAATGTTGGAGCTAGAGGTGGTGGCTGTGATTTCTTACCCCAGGAAGAGACCCTGATTATTTCTCACGCATGGGACCTTCTCAGGAACGTGGTGAACATGGGGCTGATTACTCCAGCCCTCACACTTCACACCATGAAGAAACATGAGAAACCCAGACTCTGCAGGACAAGTTCTGTTTCCTACCCATCCTACTTGAAGATCCCAAGAAGCTGTGGCTGCCCCATCCTTGGAAGTGCTCAAGGTCAGGTTGGATGCGGCTTTAAAGCAACTTGATCTAAGTGAAATGTCACAGAATCACAGAATTACTGTGATTGGAAAAGACCTCTAAGATCATCAAATCCAACCCTTGACCGATCATCAACTTTTTCAACGAGACCATGGCAGTAAGTGCCGCATCCAAGCATTTTGTGAACACCTCTGGGGATGGTGACTCCACCACCTCCCTGGGTAGTCCATTTCGATGCTTGACAATGCTTTCCCTGAAGAAATTCTTCCTGAATTCCATGGCTGGGGGAGGAAGGAAAGAAGAGCCCGGGAACTAAATGATCTTTAACATCCTTACAACCCAAACCATTCCACGATTTTACGATCACGATCTCGGGACGAATGTAGCAACCCCAGAGGACCAGAGAACAGGGCAGGTGGTGGCTGCAGAAGAAGGAGCAGCCTGAGCTACCCTTGCCCACTCGGGCACCGACCCGGATCCCCAGAGGGCATGGCGGGGTTCGGCCGCGGTGGGGGCGGCAGGAGCAGCGCGGGAGCAGCGCGGGAGCCGCGGGGGCCGGGCCGGCAGCGGAGCCCCGCTCCTCCCTGACCGCTCTTATTCTGAAAGGAGCCTCCGCCAGCCGGCGGCCCAGAGCCCTCCCCGCCCGGCCCATCCCGCTCCCCGCCTCCCGCTCCCCGCCGGCCCGGCCCGGCCGCTGCTGGGCGGTGGGCGAGGCTCAAGAAAACACGCTGCTACGTGGGGGCTCGGCTCGCTCAGGTCTTGTTTTCTTTTTCTTTCTCGCACTGGGGAGCGCGGGTCCCGTCCGGGCATCTCTGCGGGGAGCGCTCATTTCACCTTCTGGAAAACCTGGACGCAGACCTCGTCTTCAGCAGTCATGCGCTGGGAGAAGGGGGACAAAAGAGGAGTTTAGGTTGGATCCCCTCCTGTCTCTCCCCAATTCTGCCAGCCCTCCCGCTGCTGGCTGGAGCCTCGCAGGCCACCCGCTGATGCACTGCCGACCCTCCCAAAGCCCCTGCGGGTCTGGCTGCAGGGCAGGGAAGGGACATCGCCTTTGTTGAGCTGTTTAACTTTTGAGTTTAACTTTTAAACCCTGGAGGCGGATGTTTGTATGAAGCGGTGGCTGCCCCCGCAGAGCCGGGGATGAAGTCTGAGAGAAGTGGAAGGAAATTGCAGGGCTGGCTCAGAGCCAAGAGCACCCACACTGTGTCCCCTCCACTCGCTGTGATTGGGATTTTGCAAGTTGCACTGGACCCTTCCTCACCAGATGCAGCTGGTCCCCCTCCAACCAGTGCCTCCAGCCTCGGTTCCTCTTCTCTCCCAGCTGCTCACACACCAGCTGATCCCCCTCCCAGGAGACGGTTGTCTGAAATGAAGGAGAGGGAGACAAGTGGATAGGGGTGGTACGTGTTTCCAGCGATGACACTGGCTGTTCCTCTCCGACACAACTTCAAATGCAATCCCTGATCTGGTATCTCTCTAGTGGTTCCTTGGGACAGATGGTCTTTGTGGGAGGTGAATGACCCTCTGGTTTCCAAGTGCAACAACAGAGTTCTGCCAAGTGGGCTGACATTCTATCTTTTCAGGGTTTTGCTCCAGAGGCTAATATCCTCCTGATCCCAGAGAACTGGTTTCTGGCTCTTTGTTGCTCATTCTCTTACTTATAGAGCACTTACTCCTGGACCTGCAGGGGCACGCCAGCCCTGGGCTTGGTTCTCACCTGTTGTTGAGTCAAAAGCTGAGCTCTTCAGCACACCCCAGGCCCCTGTGAAACTGCACTGCTCGGGTTTCTCACCTGGCACTTGCGTCCATCCACGGGTCCCAGGTCTTCCTCAAACTGGACACCCAGGTCAAAATCCATAACGTAGTCCCGCAGGGAGGTGATAGTGCGGATGATCATGTGATCTCCCGTGTGGATAATCTCTTTGTCCGGCTTCAATAAGCAGACCAGCTTTCGCAGGACCACGTTGATATCTAGAGGATAAGAGAGAGGGGAGATGTGTGGACGACCTGGGCCCCTCCCCTAGTAGAGCTCCTCCACTCTTTTAGCCAAGGAGCATCAGCCATAGTTCCTCCTTTCCTCTACTACTATAGCGCAAAAGTGATGATAGGAGACAGAAGGACCAGAGGGTTCCCAATTCCCTTAATTTTTCCCCTTTCCGACTCTTAACTTTTTGGAGACAGAGAACGGAACTAAAGAGGAGAAGGGAGCTTGATGGGGAGGGGAGCGTTACCTAAAGCCCGCAGGTAATTGTCCATGTTCTCTTGGGAGACGAAGCGGTAATAGCCGGTGAGGTTGGGAGGCATCCCGGGACACAGGGACGCGACGGACGGCGTGGAGAAAAGAGCGCAAGCAGCCGGGCAGGCGCGGAGCTGGGTCCGAGCTGGCTCGCCGGGCGGGCCGGTCGCTCTCCCGCGGTGCGGGGAGCGCTGCGGGGCGGCTCGATCCCCGCGCCCTCCGCCGCAGTAAGAGTCCCCGCACCGGGGGGCGCGGAAAGGGCCGGGACGTCCCCTGCTCCAGCATCTCCGCCTCAGCTGGGCAGGACGTAGGGACGGCGGGTCACCTCCTCACCCTCCGCCCTCTTCAGGGGCTGCTCGTGTTAAACTCTGGACTTCCAACCAGCGGCAAGGAACCCTCCCTCTCCGGCCCTTCCTCACACCGTGACGCCGGTGGCTGCGAGCGTCGTCGGAGCAGTGCCCCAGCCTGCGCTCCCCACGGCGCGGACACTCCGTCGAGGAGAGGCAGCGGCAGGCTGGCAGCTCCGCCCTGCCTAGCCTGAGCTCCGGGTGCGGTCTGCAGCCCCTCGCCCCCACATCCCCCAGATCTTCACGCCCTCCTCGTCCCTCAGCAGCCGCCCCGGTGCCGAAGCTTCTCCCCTCCCCGGGCAGGGGCCCGCAGCCGTCGCCGCGCTCCGCGGACCGCCTGGCCCGCAGTGGGGAGGCGAGGAGAGACCAGCGCACCCCACCTGCATCCCGATCCCGCATCCCCGTCCCGCGGCACCTGGCGCGGCAGCCGCGCGCATTGGCTGCGCCCCCCGCCGCCCGTGACGTCATGCTGCAGTGCGGGGCGGGGCCGGGCGGGGCGCGGAGCGGAGCGGCTGCCGGAGGTGCCGCCGTCCCTGCGCGCCGCCGCCGCGGGAGCGAGGGCGTGGGTCCTGCCGGGACCCGCCGCCGCCGCTGCCGCCACCATGGGCGACCCTCGGCCCCGCGCCGCCGTCCTCCTCCCTCTGCTCTGCCTCTGCGCCGCGCTTCCCGGCAGCGCCTCTAACAAAGGTGAGCGGCGGAGCGCCGCGGGCACGGTCCCGGGCGGCGGCGGGCGCTCCGCTGGGACCCGCCGGCAGCCCCCACGGAGGGGCTCTGGTGGGACACGTTGGCCACGGCTCGTCTGTCCGCCCCCGCGGTGGCGGTGCGGCTCCGCGCTGCCTGCCGCCTTCGCCTGGCACGTTTTTGTCGTGGCATCTCCGCGGTCCCCGGCGGCCCTGGCTCTCTTCGCCCCTTCGGGCGCCCTTATGCCATCCCATCCCCATTCTCTACTTTGTCCATCTGTCATCCTCTCACCGACCGTTTTTTTCTCCATTCTTTTCGTCTCTTAGCGCTCCCCTCGCGTTTTCCCCTTTTCCACCCACTTGTGTTGCTTTTGTTTAGTTATCACTGGGTGGATTTAGATTCCCATCCCTTCCCTAGCATGCTGAGAGAGAATATATTGTTTCTCCACAGACCCCTGCAGTTCATAAAACACATTGCCTACCTCCATCTTCCAGTTCTAGTTCATCCATCTACAATCTGTCAATAGGAACTGTTTATGTATAGTTATGTGTTAACGATGCAGGTTGATTTTATGTGTTTTATGTGCTAAAGATGAAAGAACCTCAAACCACCCCAGCACTACAGCTATAACGTTCTGAATGCAGATGTTCTTTGAGCACACAGAGTGATGGAGAAAGATGTAGGTTTCTAGATCTGTGGCTGTAGAGACAAACGTGAGAGATTCATCTGAGGGGAGCCAGTGTGTTGGTAATCTGACAGGGTGGGAAAATCTAAACATTTGAGGGATTCTGGGCTCATCGGGGAATGTGACACCTTAAGGTGCTTTCCATGCCTGGGAAGAGTCAGGGCTACGGGGCGGGTGCACCGCAGAGCTGTGTGTACCCTGACATTGGCAGGGGCATTTATTTGTTCTGCTCTGCTTCCATGGGGCTCAGTGGCAAGGAAAGGCGCCCCATGCTCTGGATTCTCCCTCTCCTTTGTGAATTTGCACTCGGAAACATCTACCCACCTTTGGCAAATTATATTAGATTGACGGGAGCTTTCTTGAAGCTGGTAGGAGTCTGTATCCTAGTAGGAGTCTGTATCCTAAAAATATTCCTGAAATGTTTTTCTATTCTCCAACAACTCATTTCCCGAGAAATCAGATTGGTGATTCCCAAGTTGCAGGTGGATGCAGCAAAGGATTTATCTCTGTACCATCAGCTTGTTACCCCAGCAACAGGGCACATTTGGCATTTATAGCTCTGGATCCCCACCTCGGTGGTGTGGCGCATGGATAGAGCCGGAACAGAATGGAATCCGGTGAGGACAATGGAGGGGCAGGGGGAGACGCGGGCACTTGCACACAGGGAGGATTCCACCTGCATACTGAGCAGGATGGATGTTTCTCTGGATTTCCTACGCAATGCTTTATAATCTCAATCAATACGGTGGTGGGGAAGTGCCAACCCACGCTCTTCGCTGCCACGCTAGGCTGGATCTGCCTGCTCTGCCCTGCTGGGACATCCCTTTGCTGGCCTGTCACCCTGCCTGCTGGGCCCCCAGCCACCCCTGGCAGCTCCCCCAGCCCCGAAATGCACAAGTGCTTGGTTGCACAGGATGCTGCCCCTTTTGAGTCAACACATGAGGCCATGCCAGTATGGCCTTTCAGAGGACACTGTGCTGCGGAGGATGGATTCAACATATTGGAAGTAGTGCCCTTGAGGGGAATGGCTTGTATCCTACTCCCCACCAGCTCTGAACCATGCTGTGCTCAAAGTATTGCTGGGTTGTAATAAATCTTGGTCTCCAGGGGGTGGGAGAGTGGGGGATTAACTGGGAATGGGGGTTGTAACTAGGCCATGTAATATAATCTCTGAGGCCCATTTGGCAGGGAATGGACATGGGGGAGGGGTTTGTAATTTGTAATGATTTTTTTTCTCTCTCCCTTCCTATCCCCTCCTATTCCCTCCCCCCCACCCCTTTATTTCTCCCTTTCCCTGCCCCGAAGCCTGTGTGATAAAGATTAATTTGCTATTTCTGGGCCTGTGACATTTTTCAGAGCCTCCTGCTGGCTGCTGCCTCCATGCCAAGCCTGGCTGGGCTCCAGCCAAAGGGATTAGCAAGGAGGGGCCAAAGGAATATGGTGCTCGACATGGAGTGGGGAAGGAAAGGGCAAGAGACTCTCACAATAGGTTGTTATGTGCATAGGATGGCTGAGTGAAAGTGTACCTGGGCATGTCTGTGTACGTCCTGGGCCTTAGTCTAGAGTGTGCAAGGCAGAAGTGACAATGGCTGCATTGTCCCCTGGGGATACCCCAAGGGAAGATGTAGGTTGGATCCTTTCATTATGACTCCCTTGAGCTAAAGGGTTTAGTATTTGGAATTTTTCTCCAGGCTGAGGCTACTTCTGCCTCTTGAGTTCACTTTTTTTTAAACTGCTCCAGCTTTTCTGGGCACCCAGATGTCTCTCTATGTATTTCTAATAAGATAGTAATGAGGACACAAGAAGGAACACATTGTTTCTGAAGAGATCTCCCATGAGTAGAACTAAATAAAGATAACTTTTTTCTCCCAGTTTCCTGTTTAAT